CTCTGTGTGATATGTGTTAATTATGTATTGTGTAGATGTAGATAAAGAGAAGCAGATGGGTTAGGGAAGGGCTAAGAAACTTTTAACCAAGTGAAAAGTGAATTGTGCAACAAAGGGGCTGTAACTGAATATCACGAAGATGTTAGCTCGATTTTGTCCAGTGGTTAGTGTGCATGTGGGAGTGGTGGACCGTCAGAGTGTGAATTTTAAATAACCCTGCAGAGTTGGACAAACCTGTGAACAAAGCCAAAGTGGGGCAACCTTGAGTGACATATTGGACCTTTACAGACAGCCAGTCGCATTAGATTAGATCTGTGGAAGGGAGAGTGGATGAGGAAAGACTGGAGGGAGCAGATCTTGGAACAGCGATGCAGCTATTTCCCCCTGTATGTCAGGGCCAGGCCTCCACAACCACCAGATGTTTACCACCAACCCAGCTGCTTTCTCTCTCTCTATGTCTCTGTGTCTCTCATGCTCAGATTTCTCTCTCTCGCTCTCTCTCTCAGGCTCTTTAAAGCAAGCCCTCCCTGTAATCATGCACACTCAGTTCACCAGAGGTCTTTGAAGTAAGTGGAATACGTCCAGCCATATGATAGCATGTACTCTATATTCTTATAGCAGAGAGAAGGCAGAGAAGAGAAAGCGGGAAAAGTGTGGTTTTCTAGATGTTAATTATGTCCCCCCCCCTTTCCCTCCCTCCCCCGCTCCACTCTTACATGAATGTGTGTGTTTGTGCATGCAGTTACGTGTGTGTATGTTGTGTCTACAGAGGGCGTGTGCGTGCATATGTTCACTAGAAAGTGGAATGAAACGCTGCTCTGGGGCACCAGGTGACGGATGATAACGGGCGTCTGGCAGTGGAGAAAAGGTTGATGGAACATGATGGTGCGTGCATGTGTGGTTGTGTGTGTGTGTGTGGTTGTGTGTGTGTGTGTGTGTGTGTGTGTGTGTGTGTATGTGTGTTTGTGCATGCGAGGTACTTCCGCCCATAGATGTGGGGATGGAATTTGGCTCATCATGAGTTCAAAGGAGTCAACCCAAAGCTCTGTGCACACCTACAAGAGCAGACATGCCTCTCTTTTCTCTTTCTCTCTCTCTCCTTGTCTCTGTCTGTTTGTCAACCTCTCTCTACCCCCTCCCCAACCCTCTTTTTCTCTTTTTTCCTTAGGTTCTGCAAGACAGCTGGTGGGACCATCAAACACTTCACCTATTTTCTGTAATGTGTGTGTGTGTGTGTGTGTGTGTGTGTGTGTGTGTGTGTGTGTGTGTGTGTGTGTGTGTGTGTGTGTGTGTGTGTGTTTGTATGTGCATGGTCTGAATTGTGCATTTCATTGGAATGGATAGGAGCCTGTATGTGTCTGGAAAAAGACAGGAAAATAAGATGGAAGTGATCTGGGATGTAATAATCTGCTGTGGTTCTATCACTTATTGCAATAAAAACACAGTTAAATTATATTACATTAGTAATCTGCTTTACATTTTGTTACATTACATTACACACATTCTATTCCAATTTAAATCACAAACAAGTTGAAAATTATGAGGAATAAATACTTTTTTTCGCGGTGTGCTTATGTGCTGACATAGTACACAAGACAAACTGCAATGTTAGAATAAAAATGAAAACAAATAAAAATTAAATGTAACAAAATTCTCCGGGTGGAACTCTTCTTTGGCAGCAAAACCATGTTTGGTGTGTTTTGTAATATGCTGTAAATGAAAAGGTCATAATATTATTATAGTATATTAATGTTGTATTTGTGTAATGTTATTATTGATTAAAGCTACATATGTAAGAGTTGAAATTGTCTGACTTTGGTGCCCTCCAGTGGTAGTAAGAAGGAAGAAAATATATACGCAGCGCTGGACCACATGCAGACCTGAGAGGAGACTGAGAAGAATGGGATAAATGTATTGGATGTTTTCACCATGATCGTTTCATTTCCTCGTGTTGCCGTCACAGAATAATTTGAAAAAGATGCTGTAATCACCTAACAAGACTAGGAGGTTACAGCCATGCTAGCAGCTTTGTGAGGCCGCACATGCACAGTGACGCTGAGAGTTAAATGCTAAGGTTATGATGCTAACAGGCTGACGTTTAGAGGTGTTTTTCTTTGGAGAAGCAAAATTGAATTTTTTTGAACCTGATGATGGTGCTAGATGAAAACTGAGGGGAATATGGAAGGTCTCGCAATTCGAGTGAACATGAATTTCTGCATCAAAGTTTATTCAACCAATACTTAAAAAATGTTGCTGCTGGAGGAAAAAGACCACTTAAGTCACTTCAGAGATTTATCCTCTGGGGACAATGAATGTCTGTACATTATATAAATAAGTGAAATCTTTGATGTCGTGGTGGAGCAAAGGTCAGCAGTGTCATGGGATTCATCATCTTGGGACCTTGGATATCTGTATTAAATTCCATTACAATCCATTTAATGGTTGTTGAGATGTTTCACTCCAAACACAAAATATGAACCCCATGGTAGCAATAGAAGCAAAGTCAGGGGATAACCAAAAGTAAGTAGAATTCATCCTCTGAGTACCATGCATGTCTGTACAAAATTTCATGGCAATCCATCCAGTAGTTATTTCAGTCTGGACCGAAGTCGCGAACTGACCGACCAGCTGACCAACACTGGCGTCTCTACAGCCACACCTCTGGCGTGGCTAAACAGTCTGCACATAGTCACTTTAAATATTTGGTATTTTATTTGGCATATATCTGGTATCTGTGGTATGTCTGGAACAAGCAGGACACCTGATTCTCTGTGCCCAAGCACATCTCTCTGTCTCGCTTTGATAAGATGAATTGCTTCCAGTTGCTTCCTCTTGCTTTTCAGGACTTTTTCCACGCAGCTTTATCCGAAGCTCATGTTTCTGGTATCACTGGTATGTCTGGAACAAATAAGAAACTCCACCTAATTCAAGACCCTTCAGTGCCCAAGCACATCTCTCTGTGCTGTCGCTGCCTTTCTCTCTTTGATAAGATAAATTGGTTCCAGTTGTTTTCCTTGCTATTTTCCGGGGGGGTTTCCAGTCAGCGGTTTTATCTAAAGCTCCGTGTTGGGGGGGGGGGGTATCTGTGTTTGTTCTAACGCTGGCGATCGTGTCATGTGTTCCTACTTACAGAACACCTTCCAGTCATGACATCACATCGTGTGACATCACGCGCTGGTCGGGTCACACCACCATTGGTGGGTGTTGGCAATCGGGGCAGTGGAATGTCGGTGACTCAAGGCGGTGGGACAGGGATCTGGTTGGCTAATCGCTTTGTCCTTGACATTTGTGGAAAACAAGCAGAGTGCCATTTCAAACAATGACCAGTCAACTCTGACCTTCGATGGGAGGCAAATTGCTCATGTACAAATCACAACAAGGTGGCATGCCAACTATTACACCATTCTCAGGACAATCATTGCTTTCAGAACAATAAACCCCAACAGAAACTCCTGCCAAAATTCACCTTTGATTTGCCATGAATTACATCCTTAAGAAAAGACGTGCGAGGTGTTCTTTTTTTTTTTTTTTAACTGCCACATAAACACATTGATGTTATGTATAAGCATGGGAACCAGGACATGTGATGGTTTCATCTCAATACAAATTCGTACCTGATATTTATCAGTCCGAGCTTCAAAAACATAGATGATCACAACCTTATGTACTTTTACATATAACTTGAATTTTGACACATGAAGGTCTGATGATCGAAAAGCCTTTATTTTTGGATCAGGTATTAGTTATTTCAGACAAATGTTTCAAAAGGTTTCAGCTCCTCATTTGAAATAATATTAGTGATTTAAAAACACAACTCTTACTCTACGTGCTCTGTGGTCACCGTGCCACGTCTTTGGTAGCTGTGTGGGTGAGGGCAGTGAGGAAGAAAAGGGAGAGGATGAAGACCATGGCACTAGTGAAAAGGTTAGTAATGCCAGATGGTGCCTGCCCAGTAAGATTACTGGTAGAAAGCAGCACGGGAGAAGTATCCAGTGGCAACAGCTCCAAGGTAGAAGTAGTAGTAAAGAGACCCAGGCCAACATAGCGTAGCATTGATGTCAGTGTAAGCTGGATGGAGAAGGTGTAGGCCAACAGAGATGAGAGTGTTCATACTGTATAGTAGCACATTAGCGGACCAGTGTTGCAACCAGTATCGGTACGTTCCCCAGCTGGGACAGCAGAGAGTCTGGAAAGTCACAGAGTTGAATTGTGTAAATGAACATGCAATAGACTATGACATCTGCAAAACAAGGTAAAATCCCGTGACTGAGAGATTCTCAGTCACCTTGGGATCATTGGTTGTGGTTAGCTTGGGAATCTCCTGAATGGGTTTTCTGCCAAAAGAACAAACAACAATGTGCCACACTCACCAGAGACTTCCTGTTTTGGCCCATGTTTGTCATGACAACAGTGACGCCAGTCATAGTGATTCAGTACAGAGCTGCTTACGTCATGTAAGCCAGTCACAGCCCAAGCCATGTTGGTGTGAGAACCCTCAATCAGCTAAACTTGCATCAACTCATTTCCTGCACTTGAAGAGAAAACAAACCTCAGCTGATTAAAAAAAAGCAGATAAAACATAATTCTAGTCTGGAGTTTTGCTTAATGCTGGTACGAAAAAAAAATATAACAAATATTTTCATTACATGTACCAAAAAAGCAGAATTGTCACAAAAGCAGCTGCCAGGTAAAAAGGTCATAACCCCAGACAGGACACTCAGCTGGTTCAAAGACAATAAAGTACACTGTACTAAGCACCAGTGCGGACAAACACACTTACACTATACAGTGTGTATACAAGGAGGGAATGATGACGCACATATGTGTGTGAGAGAGAGAGATGTGTGTGTCTGAGGGGCAAGAGGAGGGTGTGTGCAGGTAACTGTAAAGAATCTTCAAGGAGGATTAATATTCTTGAAACATCTTTATTTAAACTTCAGACAAAAGCAACAAATGACAGGGAACGGGACAAAGAGAAAGAAAGAAAGAAAGAAAGAAAGAAAGAAAGAAAGAAAGAAAAAAGAAAGAAAGAAAGAAAGAAAACAAAGTGATGGACAGACAAAAAGAAAACCATGCCAATACAATAATCATCTCGATTTGCATCTCATCTCAGCCTACTCGAATGTCCTCTGCACAGAGGAAGTACATCAAAATAAAAGTCTTTTCTCTACCTCTCATGGTAGAGATATAATTTCAAAGTAGAAGTCCCACATGGCTTCTTTCCTTGCCTGATGCTGCGTGTGTGAGCACCAGGACACTTTGCATAGAGCCAGAAAAAGTTATCAACCGGAGACGTCCCATCGCCTTTAAGAGTTCATTTTAAATACTGTCTGGGTGAGTGTGTGAGTGAGTGTGTGTGTGTGTGTGTGACCACAGAAGTGAAACATCAGTCTCAGAGGTTCCACTTTCTGTACGATGTGTGTCTCATGGTTTTGTGATTGTCAGATGGTCGGAGCTTCAGATCAGTCCTCCAGAGGATTCCACCTCCTCCATTCAAATTGACTGTGCATCTAAACACACAAACATACACACATCTAACATAATTTACCCCCCTGTCCCGAGCCACACAGTGGCACAGCAATACAAACCATCAAAATACATCAAAAATCACAGCCGTTATATCTATAATGGCTTATTATTACTACTATTATAATAATAATATAGTTTAATACACAGTCAGGCACATTTACAATGGCTGTAGAGCAGAACGGGGAAACTCAAGGTCCTGAAGGCCTTACAGCATCCACTGGCTCTCTCTCTCTCTCCCTTTCAACAGCAACTATAGTGTGGTGTGTGTATAAGTGTGTCTGTGTACACATACAAACAGACCACAGGAACACCATCCCCATGGCAACGACTACGACATATAAACAGCCCTAAACTGAGAGCTACATATCACACGCTCCTAAAACACACTCCTCAATCAGTGATGTATAAGCAAACACATGCTCCTAGCTATTACAGTAAGGGCAGTGTACACACACATGCACCTGTCCCTATGAGTGCAGCACAGTAAATAATGGAGTTAAAGGATCAGTTCACACAAATTGACGGACAAAATCAAACTTTGTGTTATCGACCTGTGTAAATAGTTTGGGTTTTATCTCCCCAGGTTTGAAGATATTCATGTCTGAGATTCCTGCCTCCACCTCGGTGCAATAGGAGTGAATGGAATTTCATCTGTGGTGCTCAAAGCATGAAAAAAAAAGAGATTGCAGAAACAACAGCATCGTGTCTTGCCAGACACAATGTCCTGTTACTCTCCACGAACCTTAATATCAGGACTATTTCCTCAATAGAAAGTAGTTCCGATGGAAGCTGCTCACAGTGTGTCCTGTGGTTTGTTTTGAGTAGCAGGGACAACCGTTTCAGAGAGGTTGCTCTTAAATGTTAAGGTAATTCTCTACGTTGTGGCGGCCGCTACAAATTTCATTCATTTCCATTGTAACAGGATGGAGGCTGAACCCTCAGGGACAGATATATCAAAACTTGAGAACCATAACAAAAAACTCACCACTAGTGGTTCTTCATAATTTGGATGTACTGACCCTTTAAGAGGCGTCCTTAATGGTGTGTTTGGTACGTGTGTTACAGGGAGAATGGACATTAGAAAGCTGCAGAAACAAATGGTATATAACAATGATTTTTGGCATAAATGACAAGAACAAATCAAAGTAATTACCAGGTCCTGTACACAATCAACAAGGACGTGAGAAGCAGACAGTGGGATGCGGTGGATAAATGCATGAGACTGACAGGAACAACTCACAGTTCTTATGTGCATATATCATTACAAATGTGACAGGTGGAAATGTGTGGGCAACTCTACCAGAGAGTTTGATATGTTTGTCAACATGCATCATTTTTCTGTGCATATCCCTCACTGTGACCTCGCCGGCTGGAGCATTACAGTCCTTGTAGTCAGAAACTTTTTTTTTTTTTTTTTTCCAGGGGGTTTAGAAATGATTGCAAAGGGAGTCCAGAGGTGGAGCGCTGATAATGCCGCTCTAAGAATAGAGCTGCTCAGGCTGTGCAGTGAGCTGAACTCCCTCTTGGAAAAAGTTGGCCGGCCATTAGTGCACCGTGCGTGACAGCGGTGCCGTGCAGTAGCACAGAGTGGCCACAGAGAGGTGCTGTTACAACCACCCAACCTGTTGCATGATTCCTCCCTGAAGGGACTAGAGGTTTAAGAACTTCCTTTACAAGAAACACAGTGACGGGCTGCACAGGGCAGCGGGTTTCTGACGGCAGTGTCTATCTGTATGTGATGTTGTGACTATTGTGACTGCGGGTTATGAATGGTAATGCCTATCACTTTCATTATCTATTTCTGTGAGTCTACTTGTGTAACTGACAGTCTACCTGTCGCCTTTAGCACAGAGGCAACTGAAAATGCAGGTGATTGTCTTGTGGCAGGATTGTCAGTAGAGAATTCACAATGGCAAATACATTATTTTACAGTGAAGTTTTTGTTTTTTTTCTTGATTCCTTTTAGAGCTTATTGAGCACTTCTCCCTCCATCGCTGGCTTTGTTCTCTCCGATGGAGTGAAAAGCTGGAGGCAGTGACAAAGTTTTCTGTATGAATACAGATGCATTATCTTTTCTGTTTTTTTTCTCTTTTTATACCAGACACAGAAGAGTACTGGTTCACGGTCACACACACAAAAACCGATGAGTCCGTTCTGAGGAGACTCCAGTCATTGTAAGACAGACGCCAGAATCATTTTCTCCCTCTGTCTTTACATCCATGCATTTTTTTTTGATAAATAACTCTCTATCACTTGGTTCCCATCTGTTTTCCAGGATGAAAGGCCCAGGAACTCCAGGGAAGGAGTTTTATGCCGACAGGTCTGATATGACCAGTTTTTCCATTTTATTCCCAATCTCTCCAGGGACTTGAAGCTCCTCGGATTCGTAGTCATCGTCAAATGACCTGGGGACAAACACACATAGTAGAACTGGTTGTTGCTGCATACACCTTATTCCTTTATTTTCTCATCTTCTCATCTCATTAAGATCAATTATATTTCAATACCGGGAAAAGCACATATGCGTGTGTGTGTGTGTGTGTGTCTTACCCTTCATGTAGCTGTTCATTTGCAGTCTCTTCTGCCACCAGTATCTCATACTCCTCTGAGGCATATTTATCCCAGTCAGATGGCTCCGGACCTTCGCTATCAATGTCCTGCAGTATCACGAGCACAGCACAAACATGAGGCACTGACAAAAACATGCAAAAGCAAGACCATTTCTTTACAAAACACAATGAATAAGGAACAGATCTAGTAAAAGTCTAACATCTGGAAGTGAGGAGGAGGCTCTCATACTTCTGGGTACCAAAAACCAGGGTCCCATTGTTCTAATGCTAATGAAGGAATTTTGTGTTGAGTAAATAGTCATTGTTTCATCATCATCAAAACCAAATCATTTTCCAGTTTCAACACTGACACTGATTTTATTCAAGAACACTGGCATCCATTATCGTAACGCTGAAGAGTGGCATCAGCTCTTCGGTTTTAAAATGAACAAACAGTTTATACAGTCAGTTAGTTGTAGTATTACTGTTAACAACATAGTTTGCAAGGAAACACTTAATATCAGTTGTGAGGCAAATTTAAATATATATATGTTGCATGTATGTAACAATTCCTCTTCGATTTGCCAGTATGGCTGATTATCTCTCACACACACACACACACACACACACACACACACACACACACACACACACAAGATGCAGATACACACCTTTTGCACAGCAAATGGGTCTCTCTGTTCATGGTCCAGGTATTTCTCCAGGTTGAAGAAGGTGTCAAAGAATATGTGGGCCATCCGGCAGCGCTTGAGATCACCCAGGGTTATCTTACCTGAAGAAAACAAGCACATACACAAACACATGCATGTGAAAAGTTCAGGTAGTAGCTGGGTTAAAAAAAAAAAAAGGAATATGGTAGGGAGTGAGAAATAACAGATAACATGAAATAAAGGGGAGAAAAACCAAGGGGGAGATAGTGGTGGCACCAACCTGTGCTCTCAGGTTTCACCAGGTCAAGCATCTGGCAGAGCAAATCCTGGAAGGGCAGAGGTTCGATGCCCATCCTCTCCATCCTCTCACACTGTTCCTCATAGAAAAACTCCAACTCAAACATGGACAGGACGCCATCGCCATCTACGTCCATGCACCGGAACCAGTACTCAATACTAAAGAGACACAAATGACAAACACAGACACAATCTCTCATGGACTGAAGCGGATGTGCAGCTGAAAACGGTCGTACGGCTAGGATGACAAATAAATGCAAATGCAAAAAAAAAAAAGTATAAAAATGGTCAAATGGTCACACAGAACCAAACGACTGTTACCTTGTGTGGTTTTTCTTGTCTTCCTCAGATATGAGGAACCAGACAAACTCGGCATAGCTCATCCTGCCTTCTCTCTGCACCGCATTACCCCTGGAAACAAGAGAGACAGAGCCAGTCACATGCAGCCCTGCCATTATGGTAAAAAATAATCAGCTCCTCTGCGTTTGTTTACGTGTGTGTTTCCACTTACCGAGTGACGGCCCCTGAAAACAATCTCTCAATGATTCTGTTTGAGGATGCTGTCAGAGGAGAGAATGAGCAAAATAAGCAAATGTGATTTCAGTTCAAAAGTACAGAAACAAATGGGTAGTGTTGCAAAGCATTGCGCATACAGCACGCTCATTTGCGTAAGTAACTGAGTCCGGGAATCACATCTTGGCTGAGCGGTCATGTAATTCAGTTAACGGTTTAATTCATTTCACATCAGACGGCATTAAAAAGTGCTGAGTCGAGGACAAACGGCTGTTGTTTTTTGCACCAGCTCGTGGGGGCCCAACAAATGGAAAATAGGCAAATGAATGTGCCAATTCCAAAGCTTGTCTGCTTCTGATTCTGGGTCTTTACTGGAATTCCAACCCATAAAAGGTCATCTCATCCACCATTAATTTTACAGTTTTGATTTTGAGATAATACATTTTTTCCCCTTAAGGCCTGATTTCTTTTTTTGATAAAAGTTAGATTTTTGTAGGATAGACTCCCCACTCATCTGGTATGAATGTATTTCAGCTGGGGGAAATAAGTCTTCGGCTCAAGTTGTTCTTACCGTGGTCGTTGTATCTCCCCAGGTCTTTGGGGTCAATGTAGAGGTCATGGTCAGTGTCCAGCTCCCAGAACTTGCAGTAGATGACGTAGAAGTGCTCGTACGAGAAGTAGTCAGTGATCTGGTTGATGTCGTCCTCCTCCTCCAGCAGGGCAAGGGTCTGCAGGAAGTTGCTTCTGCGCAGCTCCATCATGGTGATACGACCTGTCCATGAGCGATTCACCACGTAGTATATCCGTTGGATCACCTGGGATGACAAAGTAGAATCAGCACAATTACACAACAAAAGAGAGCATACCAATGATGTCACCCACTCTTGGACAAAACTTAGGGTTTTTAGCTGCTAAAGGTTATAGATGTACATGTAGTTATCATAGAATTGCATGAAAGATCATAATAGATAAAATCTTTAAATATTTAGAATTTAGGTCCCGAATTGGTGCTGCTATGTGCTGATGTTAGCTTGGCAGAGTTCATTTGAGAGATGTCGGTGTTTTAGTTGGTTTGGTTCAGTTGGTTTTAGCTAATGGGAATCTAAAAAGGGAATCAGAAGGCAACGTCTGAAACTGAAGCCGTCAGACTGGCTGGACTCTGCTTTCAGTCTAATGAAAATAGCATAAATCTCACATGGAATCCAGTCAAGCCCTGTCATCCAGATTTATTAAATGTGTTCCTCGTCTTTCCAAGAGGGAGACCGACCAACAATGCATCCACAACTGATACGTTTGTCCTCATTCATAATCTTAGTGAGACCGGTCTTAAGCATACAATGGAAACAAGAGGTTCCGCGGTCCCTGTCCCTGAAACACAACACTTAGGCTTAGTGAAGAGCGGATTAGCACCCATTTCCTGGTACATGGACCTCCCAGGGCTACTAATGTCTCATACAGTAGCGGGTCAGCTGGTCTAAACTGAAGGAAGTATCTTAATATGGACATGTGAAGGGCCGAGGCCTCTGCTGCAGCGGGCTGCATGGGGCATCAGTGTTTCCGTGATGTCACTGCACTGTGACGCGCCAGAGCATGGCCTCCTCTGCATCTCTGCACTTCTACACAGCGAATCCTCAACTTGTGTAGCACGTGTTGCAGCTATACTGGTCCACACACACACACACACACACACACACACACACACACACACACACACACACACACACATACACACACACACACAGCCTGCTGCTAAAGTTAGTAGATGTGCATGGAAGAACTAAATTCTGACAGTTTACTGATATTAAATACTGATCTCATAGTGATGGCTTTGACTATTCACTGTATCAAAGTAAAACTACTCATTAATAATCCCTTACTGTATGTCATTATATTTCATTAGTAGCCTATTATTGTTGATGCATTAACATGTTTTGTCTCTGTAACCAGGTCTTATATTAACAGTTTTATTCTTGTTGGACAGTTTAATCTTCATCATCATATTTTATAACCTGATCAATTGTACGATTTATAAAGCAACACCTTGCTAAAGCTCTAAATATAAGTAGTGGAGTAAAAGATACAATATAAAGTCTAGTATAGTGTACAGTGAATACTATATAGAAGTGGCATGAAATGGAGACATTTAAGAAAACTTAAAGTACATCAAGTACTTTACAGTACTTTAGTTACTTTCCACCACTAGTAGAGGAATGAAGATTGATGTTGAGCTCGCAACATTTCCTCCAAACTGGTGAGTAAATGGCTGTTAATGCTGACGCTGGCTATGTAGCGATAGCAAAACTTACAATTGCTCCTTTAAAGAAATTCTATCATTAATTGTTAACCTAATCCAAACTGATTTTGTATTAATATATACAATATACAATATTCTATAGTTTTTTTGTACTTTTTCAATATAATGTTTGATCTTTTTTGGTAATATGAGGTATAATTAATACTTGTCTCTATTGTACCTGTGACCTTCACTGTAAGTGTGACTACTAGGACAACATTAATAATGTATAACACTGTCTGATGTTTAGTAGGTTGCCTTTTCTTTTTTTGCTTCACTCTTATGTAATACTGTATGTTTTTTTTATTTATACTTGGATAATAGAGAAGCAGCTGTGGATCCATTACAGCCTACTTTGCAGAAAAGAAGGTGATCTTATATATATAAAGGAAAATATATATGAAAAAGGACAGATGATTTTTTCACGCCATTTACCGTTGTGATATAGCGGGAATGGAATTCTGGTGCATCCTTCAGAAATGTGAGCCCAGGGTGTGTATCCACTATGTCCTAATCAGACAAGCACAAACAGGAAGATGAGAAAAAAAAACAAAACAAACATAATTTAGACAAGTCTGAGGGAAATCTGCAGAAGACCACACAGAGCTTGTTGAATGTATCTGGATTGATCGATGTCGATAAGACATTTACCTGCAGAAGAGGAATGAAGTCCTCCTGCTCCAGGTAGTTACAGCCAGGTTTAGCAAGCAGGTAAATGAACCTTGATGCATCGTCATGGCAACTGTGCAACAACCTGCAGGAGAGGAGAGGAGAGGAGAGGAGAGGATAGAGCTCATATCACAACCTGATGACAGATAACGCAATAATAAACCAGGAGTCAGATGTACATGATGTCTGTCTTACTTCCTCCAGGTTGCAATGAAGGAGTGAACAGAGACAAAGCCTGTCCTCTCGCCACCTGCTGCATAGAACATGGGGGCCTTCCAGTAAAGTGGACATCCGCATGCCTGCACAGAAACACAAGAAACAGCACCATTAACAGACCCTGAAGAACAATTGTGTACTGTATTCCACCACAGTGTTTGTTTCCTAGAATCGTTGTTTACACTGTTTACAAAAGGAACGGCGGCATGAAAACAGCATTGCATCACCCAGGCCACTGTGTGTGTGTGTGTGTGGATTTCTGGAGCAAAGAAAACCTTTGTGTAAACATTTATGGAGGAAAGGGGGGGGGGGGCTACAGGATGAAACATGAAAAGATTGATGTTAATCTCACATGGTAATGCAAGTAGATGTTGATGCTGATTTTTTTTTTTTTTTAGCTTTTATTAAACTTAAAAGCAGGTTCATTATTAGCATTATTGGTGTTTCTAGAATGCTAAACATTATAATGTCTGTTGTTAAACCTTTTGCTGACCTTTGCAATCTTGCCCATTTCATATATGTCGGCCTTCTCCTCTTCAAACTCGGTGAAGGCCGTCTCAATGGCAGTGATGGCTGCGTCGTGGTTGGCAGGCGGGCCTGGGGCAGGGAGCCCACGGGGATAGTAGAACCTGGGAATGTTGATGGCAGGGGGAGGCGGGGTGACTATCACCGGAGCTGGAGGAGGGCTGGGTGAACGTGGCGTGGGGGTGGTTGTGGCCAGGGTAGGGGCAGGGGCTGGTGGAGGTGTGCCGGGTTTCTTGTCTGGTTTGGACTGGACCTGGAAAGAGAGAAGGGACATCATGTGTGGGGATGTGTGTTTGTGTTTGTTTCTTTTAAACCATAACTTGTTACATTTTAAAATAAGAATGTATTGATTTGAATTTTCATATAGTTTGTGAACCATATCTAATATGACTCCTGCAACATCTTACACTTGTTGTTCCAAATCAGAGCTCCACTCCTGAACTGCATTTTCAAATAACAACCAAAAGCACACTTGCAGCCATTTGCTACGTTATTTTGACTTATAATTAATGTGTTACTTACCTTAATTTCCTGACTTCATTTAGACTTTTATGGTGAGAAACTATAAGGTAATTTTTTTTTTTTACTTTCAGAGGTAACTTTCTCCAGAAGGAGACTGAGGATCATACACTGATGTAATGCATGTGAGTCATACACTTACGTACAAACATCTTAAGACTTGTGCAATCTGTCAGTAAGTCAGTCACTCAGTCAGTCAGTCAGTCACTCAGTCAAAGCAGTCAGCACTTAAGACCGATTTAAAGTGTTGGCAAGAAAAGCCTCAGGTGGCTCTGAGCACTCAAGACTATGTTTGTCTTAATTTAAACCATCCTAATCCCGGCACCTTAACTAAACAGTAAAGAAGAATAAACAACACACAGGAGCAGTAATGCTGTCAAAATATTTACTGTGGTTTTATCAAGGCCTTTGGATGTATTCTGTGCACACATCAATCACGAATAAAAATAAGTATTACACAAGTAAGCAAACTGGACAACAACTAAGAAAAAAAAAGGCATTCTGTGAAATTAGTATAATTTTTCTTAGTTTGGGAAAAATAAGTTGAAAAGCTTATTCTGATGGCTTTCTGTACACTGTGGACCGTCCTTGGGAAGAGCTCGGGATAGAATTATTTTTATCATCAACATGCTCTATTATCTAATTCAGAACGCATCAGTTTATACTACCAGCAACGACAAGGTGAGATGACACGCCGAGTCATCTACTAGCAACTGAGAGCTGCACATCAGAGGTGATGTTCATACAGACGTGAAAAGTAACAGATTTCGCTCGCATTCTAATTAACACTTCTTAAATCAAAACTTGTCAGTGTGTTCAAGCAGACACTTCCCTGGTGCCTGCTGTGGTTGGTGTGTGTGTGTGTGTGTGTGTGTCTTGTTGACGGCGTCCATACTGTGTCTATTGAGCAGGACAGCTGTACCTCTCTCCCTCCCTCCTGCTCTCCTTCACAGCATTCATTCTATCACTCTATTCCTGCACCCCCTGCCCTATTAATACTCTGCTGGTATCTGCCTCAGAATAGTTTGTCGTCCCCGGCATGTCACTCTGTGCATATGAGAGCAACAAGTTGCATCTACTGTATATGTGTGTTTAATGTGTGAAGGTGTGTGTATGCTTATATGTGAGTGTAAAAGAGGAACACTAAGAGTGGTATACACATTAAGAGACAAGTATTTTTTACGGATAGTTTGAGTGTATTTCGTGGGAGTCTTAACTGTTTTATATTGAGTCCGAACTTGCACTCCGTCCTTGCTGCCTGTTGCACCGACTGACCTGTTGCTGCTGGAAGGACTTGAGTCTCTTCTTGAAGCGTGAGGGGAGGACAAAGTCACACCCCCTGGCTAGAAAGGCCAGCTCTCCCCTCAGGTCAGGGTCCCGGCGTAACGACGTCTCCTTGATCATCATGGTGGGGGCCGAGACTGGCAACCCCCCACCAGACACGGCCACCGGTGCGGCTATTGACACGGCGATTACAGATGGACCAGCTTGCCCAGCAGTCAAACAACCAGTGAAAGGAAATCAGCCGGGCTGAAGTAAAGAAGTCCACCTGACAGCTCAGATATCCACAAACCAAAAAAAAAAAAAAAAAAAAAAAGGCCTAACACCTTAGGATAGTAAAGGAATATCCAGCATGTGGGTGATTTCACTCAAAATGTCCATTGGTGATCACAAAATCTCTCTTCCAGATTCCCCTTGAACGCACAGGCTCCCAACACTGTTTCCTATACAGCCGTAATCCAGCAGTGTATCTGTGCAAAGAGATGTTCCTTAAGACGCCCGTGCTACTGTGAAGGCCGGGAGGCAGAACCATGGTACTGCGCCGATTTATGGCAAATCACAGCCCCAAATGGTGGCTCCTATCTGAGGCAGAAACCCTCTGGTGTTCCCCTGTCAGCTCTGGATGTATGCATTTGGTGTAGTCTCACTGGTGCCTGCCGCTCCAAGCTGGGCTCTGACAAACTGCACGGAGAAACATGAGCCATGCCGGGGTCTGGCAACACACACATACGCGCAGCGAACCGGCTGTCCTGAGCATTAGGGTGGGTGGGGGGGGTGCTGGGTGTGGGGGTGGGGGGGCATGAGGGCTGGAGGGTGGGGAGGGGGTTCAGCCATGTTGCATATCTGTGTGTAGTGTTTTGCAGGATCGGGGACCTGCTCAGTCCCTGCCTTTGACGAAAGTTAGCCAGTGGGATGTTACAACTCAAGAGTGACTCTGATTGAAATCATTTTACAGCGGACAGGAAGTGCGGGTCGGTGCTTCACTGTGAGTGGATGAATAAGGACGAGTAAGCCGAAATATTATCATAGAGATAATTCGGGATGGAGCGATAAATCAGTGAGCAAAGCACCTGTTGTTATATCTGTTGACATGCAGTAATTCCACTGGACTAGCTCACTAACTGAAAGTAGCATTCCCTGTTGTTGGAAGATAAATATTTTTAAAATGCATGAGTGTATGGAAAGTAACTTGTGGTAATGGCTGCAACAGACAATTATATATATATATATATGTATATATATATACATATATATATATATAAAATGCTCATCACAGCCACGGAACAGGGCTGCAATAAATAATTATTTCCAGTACAGAGTAACTTGACAAACATTTTCTTAATTAATTGAATAATTAAAATGTCAGAAAGAAGTGAAAATTCCCATCACAATGTCCTGTAGCCTGAGGTGATGTCTTCAAATTAGTTTATTTCATCTCACTAGCAGTCCCACACCTCAAGAGATGCAGTTAATTATTACATAAGAGAAGGGAGGGCAGCAAATCCTAACGTTTGAGAAGTTGAAACGAAGACTAGGAGACTTTAAAATGATGTTTTTCATTAAAACCAGCATTAGAATTTAATGCTTCTGATAATTTGGTACAAAATATAAATGTAGTTGTGGCTGAATTCTTACACATAAAGCAAATTTGAGAGGAAAAATGTCAACATACGTATACCCTGGCAAATTATCATATATGGTAATAGCTAATTAAAAGTGAGCACGATCGGCTTTCAGTATGAATTGCCAATACAACATCATCCATCTGCCAGGAAGCTCCAAGTCTGCCCTTTCTCCCAGCTATGCCAAATCAAGCCAGAGCCCCTTCACAGCCAGGCCACGCCAGTCTGAAGCCTGGCAGTGCACTGAGAGAGGGGATCCCTCAGGACACACAGGCAAAACCTATTTTAAACCGGTCGAGCTAAAATCCGTCCAAGACTAAGACACAACACCAAATGTCTGCCATAGAACCGTTTGCACACACTGTACCGCATATGTACACACCGGTGCTTGCCACCGACTGTCAACGAAAAGGAAACCGTCAGTTTCTCAGAATCTGTTGGAGCAGTGAACACAGATTCCTCTGCGGTTGTGTGTCAGAGCAGCACAAATGGAGAGTCTAGTGCCATCTAGTGCTTCACTAAGCTCCAGGAGTAAGGTTACTCATAAAACACAGAGCTATATTTAAGTAGAAATACATCTGCGCTCTTTGGATGAAAACTTTTCAGGAACTGAGGAAATGATTTTCCAGTTCCTGGGCTCATGAAGTCATCTAAGAACTCGATGGGCCATGAAAACTGAAATTGTAATTTTTTTCTCCTATAATTATGAATGAATCACTTTCATGCTGGTGCAGTGTTTTTTCTACATCCTAAATATTTTTCTTGTTTTTCACTACAACTATGTTCACACCTTTTCTATCCACTGAGAGCTTGTTCTTGCCTTGTCCTTGTGACCCATTTTTCAGTATTATTTCATCACTGTGTTTGCAACATGGCGTGTGGCAGATGAATAACAGAGATTTCTCACATTGGATGTGTGGAAAAGTTGAGGATGTGTGCATGTGTGTGAGTAACTTTCCAGAAAAATAAGTCAGTAACCTTGGGTTTTAGGGTAACTCCTTTGAGCTCCCTGTACGCCCTAATGAATTCTCTGGAACAACTGGACTCTGTACTGAAGCCAAGGTCACATACCGATCACACACACACACACACACACACACACACACACACACACACACACACACATTGTCTTCTCTCTGTTATGGCCACTTCTTCTTCCCTCTGCAGGGAAACATTATACAATCAGTATCTCGTGTCTATCAACGAACGAGCACAATCTGGGGAGTGCACAACTGCCTTCTCACCAGCCTCTCATGTCATGTTGACCCCCCCCCAGTGTTCTCAGTCCGATCACCTAAAGTCAGTTCCCACCACTTCCTCTGCACCACCTCATCAACTGGAGCGATACACTTGTGATATCATAAATCTCTGTATAAAGAGATACGTGTGTGCATGTAAGTGTGTAAGTGTGTGTGTGTGTGTAAGTAAAGGGAGCCAAAACAGATGCCATTGGGCAGCTGTGTGCTCTTTTCCTGTCTGACTGACAGTCGTGTAACCCTGCCCTCTCAAAAAGTCTCCACTTGGTCCTAAAACCTGCCCGCTTCATTCTCATGCTAAACTTCACTTCACTGTTTCAAAAACAGTTTATACTTCAATAAAAAACTGTTTATTTACCAAGTTTTGAAACTGTACGGATGGTGGAAAGGAGCCATCTCCTTTAAAGTTACTTTTGCCACGATAGTATATGTGGGAAAGTAGCTGAAGGCTGCTCTGGTGACATGAAAACAACCAGCGGGACAAACTGTTCCCACTTATAGATATACATAAGGTAAGCAGTGACATGCTGGTCAGCTCTGAGGCCGACCAAATATATAACAACCATTGTTTGTCTATTTTTTTTGACCTACAACTTTACTGTTGCAGACTAACTGACCAACTGGCTGGTGAAGAGAGCGGAGCATTTAGCAGCTAAAGAGCCAGATATGTTTCTCAGTTAGTGGAGACCACAGCAGGGCTAAACCAAATGCATGCTTATGTTGTCCTGTAGCTGTGGGATATGTAAATAGGTATAAATAGGTAACTGTCTACTAATAATAATAATAATAATGATAATAATAATATGTCAATGTAGTGTTTACAGCTTCTTCCACTGCTCCCAGTTGGCCACAAAATTGATAAAACAAGATAAAAACTAAATATAAGTTACTGTTTCAAAGTTACAAAGTTAGCGTACTGTTATCTGATGCTATATTGATTCGTAGTTGGGAAACAAAACTATTCAATTATGCATGAATATGCCAGTAATATATATGCATTAAAGTACTGGGACAAAAAACAAACAATTGGACCTTTGCTTGGCCCTATGGCACAATGAACAACATGTTAATCGCCCCAAAATTAATATATTCCTCTAAGATGCTGAGTTAAGCAGAGAAAAGACAGAAGGTTATGGTTATAGGATTTGTGGTATGGAAGGGAGAAGTTGCTAATGGAAATTTAAGGGGGGGTTAAGGGGCTATGCAACAGGTGTGTGTATGTGTATGCTGAGTGTTATGTCTGCAAGCGCTTTCCTCCGCCCACTGCACAGACCAAATCCTACCCCGCCGCTACAGGAACAGGTGAGTCAGCAGCGTTCACAACATTGATCAAATAGATGCATGATGGGAAGAGCAGAGGGACTTGGGCAGAGAGTCAGCTGTCCAACAACTGCTGCCTTCATGGAACTGTTAAATACACATTGGTCGTGCACAAATGCCCTTCTAAAGGATTTAATTAGCACACAAGCATCGATACATGTGTCTAATTTGTCATGGCATATCATTTGTGTGAGTGAGTAGTATGTGTGTGTGTGTGTGTGTGTGTGTGTGTGTGTGTGTGTGTGTGTGTGTGTGTGTGTGTATACATGTATGCCTCGGTGAATTCAGTTAACAGGAACTGCGTCTTCCAGTCTTTCAGAGAAGTTAAATAGTGTGAACATAACAACTTCCTAAACACACACACACATGCACACACACACACCTGCTCTGTGAAACTGGCTGTGTGCCGTGTGTAAAATTATCTGTTTAAATATAGCAACACGATTTCATGTTTATTCCTGCTTCAGGCACTGGGCAGACTTCACACACATATGGACGCACACGTGACAACACACACACACACACACGGTTGGGAAAGATGCTTGAAAACCAGAGTAGATCAGGGAGTTATGATCAGGCATTTAAATGAACGGCTCAATAACAGTAAACTTGTTACTATCATTTATTGTTTGATTTTCTGTTTTACAAACTTTCTATGATACAAAGTCACAGATATATTGAAATGTGAACGGTGATTTATAACTACATTGAAAAAATATCTTTCAAAACATGATTTTTGACCCTTTGAACAAGCTTAATGTTAAATTATTCAGTTATTCGCACTAATTATATAGGTTTACCAACCCTTTTTAATAACAAGATCACTGCAATCATTACTGCATTGGCAAGTGCATGTTGTTACACATGTCAGCCTTATATTTTTATGTGATGTTATTTTTAAAACTTTCAGTCAGACCAACTGCCCACTGGGACAAACAAAGTTTAAACTTGAACCTGACATCACATGAAAAAAAGCTACCCACCCTCCTCATCTTTGTGATTATACACACACACACACACACACACACACACACACACTCACTTTAGACCAGGCCTGCCAAATGCCATCTCCATGGCAATAACCCTTTCCCTGGATTGAGTGGTTGGTGGAATGCTCCCAGGGTTACCGTGCCAACAGCAGGAAACGCAATTCACATCTCTGCTCTATTCTTTATTCCCAGTCTCACTTCCTCTCAAGAAGGACACGCGCGCACGCACGCACGCACGCACACACACACACACACACACACACACACACACACACACACACACACACACACGCACACACACACATGCAGATAAACACAGACAGTTACACAAAGTTGCCTTGGGATCCTCCTCTTTAGACTGGGTGCTGCTTCCGTGATAGATGAAGTGAATCACTGCTGGCCATGGTCTACCTCACATCCGAATCAGAGGAGGGCAACATGGGAACAGTTAAAAACACAGCTGCTGGGGCTGTCTGGGTGGAAGCAGATGCTGTCGCAGGCTCAGGTACCACAGCAGCCGACAGTACTATTTTTTTTTTTTTGATCAACCACTGAACCTGTGTATTGGATTTGAGACCAATACAGAGAATAATAAGCAAGGCCATGTCCAAAATCCCTCTGTTGTTCACTCACAGTGGACACCCAATATATTACTCTATACTGAGCAGTAGATTGAGATTTCAGATACTTACTTTACTAATCATTATCAATGTACATCTACTACTGCCACTGCTACTAGCACAATTTCATACTATTAAGTGCTAACAAAACTAGCCAAACTAGCCAAACTTGCTATCTGAGACTAATGTTATGGTAATACAACATTCATGCAACTGCTGAATGGACTAACTGTTGATACATATTAAGTCAAGTCGAGTCAGTCTTTATTAATATAGCGCCAAATCAAAACAGAAGTTATCTCAAGGCACGTTTCAAGTAAAACAGGTCTTGCCCGTACTGTTTTTATTTTTACTCTTGTGGACCGTGTACTGTGCCATATTTCCTATGGGGACTTAAAGGAATAGTTCAAGGTTTTGGGAATGACGGTTATTTCTGGAAGAGAGTTGGATGAGAAGGTCCGTACCACTCTCATATCTGTCCATACAAGGCTACAGCCAGCAGCCAGTTAGCTTAGCATAGCATAAAGACTGGAAACAGGGGGGCACAGCTAGCCTGGCTCCGTCCATTTCCAAAGAAATGACAGTTTATCATTTTGCAGTAGTCCAGAAGTGGGAGTCCACACATAATATGCACATAATTCACTTTAAAAGGGCAATTTGTTGTTTTTACAAATTTGTTGACAGATGACAGATGAAACAAACAAGATATACTGTATTAATTAGTGAAAGTTAGAGAGCTTTTCTCGCTGTCTCCAGTCTTTATGCTAAGCTAAGCTAACTAGCTGCTGGTTGTAGACTTAGATTAACTATATAAACATGCTAATTTTATCTCACAATCTGCAAAGAAAGCAAATAAGTATATTTCCCAAAATGTTGAACTTTTCCTTTAATATTGTTCTTTGACTTGTGACACGTTGTTTATTCCTTTCATGAGGGAGAGTGGAAATAATTTGACAGTATTGTGAATCACTTTTCTTCACACTGTACTAATTCTTTTTTTAAAAACACTTTGGTGTAACTCTTGTCTGTGGTTTCTCTGATTACTACCATTGTTGTGTTTTATCCAAATATGTTTTCGCACTTTCCCAATTACTTCCAATAAAGACTTCAGAGACCAACTGCTGTCATCAAGCTTTATTGGAAGTGTCCTGTTTTGAATCATGTAGCCACAATCAGAATGGCTTTTTTTTTTTTTACTTTTGTACAATGCAGTGTGCTTTTTGGTGGGGATTCATTTCTTTTCTTCTAGAGAGATTATAGTGAGGGCAGAAAAATGGCTGCGTAAAGATATTTTACAGTTAAATAGCACCACGAATAACAGTGAATATAAGATGACTATACATTACGAACAGTAAACATCACTTAAACTCATTATTTTCAAATAACTATATTCAAAACACACAAACTAACTCCATCGAATTTGAATTCATAAAAGTTTGTGGCACAAAAGTCATACATAGTCATGTACATAAAAGTCATTCAAATAAAATAACTGCATCACATAAAATCATAAAACATTAACTTTACATTTTAAGGCCATAAGGAGCTGTCTCAATAACCGCAGGAGGAGTGGCTTCCTGCTCGGAGAACATTTATAGAAATTTCTACTTATTGTATCATTTTACTGCCTATTTCTGGGAGGGATGACCAGCTACATCACCAGAAAAAATTCCCAGTGAATCATCTCCCTCAGAGGGAAGAGCAGCCTGTGAACAAGTACTGTTTAATAACAACACATTCCCAGGCTTTCATTGGCCAGCTTGGCATTTCATATTTATATACATGACTATCAGGGCAAGTTTTGCATTACCTTTTCATGGCTATTTTAAGATTTAGACTGAGTGAGCTAATCCTACATCAGCAATAGTGACGGGCCTCAGCCTGAAGCTGCAGTGACAGAGCCGGCACTAGAGTGCAGTAAGAGACTCTACACGGCCAGTGGCAGAGCAAATCAGCTCCTGTTTCCTCTCTTTTTTTAGATAGAAGAGTAAAGATAGACAGGAATGTTAGGAGGGAGAAATGTGTCAGCATTAATAAGTAGCCACTGCACAAGGCATTAGCATTTTGCTGCAGCCCCGTGATATTAATAACAAATCTTTGGAGGAGATGGTCGGGTGGCATTGAAGCATGGTGCAGAAAAAGTGGGTACATACTAAAAAAGGGGGGGCACCTGTTGCGTAAGTCATGATCCTACCCAACAGATCATTTAGAAGAAAATACATCATATTAACATCCATTTAACACGCATCTCAAGCAATATGTTCCCAGTAAACTATATTATTCCGACATAGGATATAAGGCAATAACGTCTAGACAACACATCTTTCAGAGCCAGTACACTACAATCTTGCATCACCCTTTCCAAGCAACAGTCATTTCATCATAATGTCACAATCATGGGCAGATCATGCCATTATTTCAACACACGTTTTTTTTCCCCTGTGTTTAAAAAATCAATTATACGCAATAAAAGCAGCTTATGAAATTGAAGCACGTGAAAACTTATTTGGACAATGAAACTGATTCTGATTGAAATCCTGAGACACTGGTGGTAGTTCAGCAATCATCCTGTAGATGGAGCTACGGATCCTCTTCATATCAAACAACAGGAGTGAGTCAACACCGTACCTTACGGCACAGTAGGGGCTGAGAGTCACTAGAGGGTAGCAGCTCTCTGCAATGTTACCACGTCTGAACTGTTCCAAACATTCGAGCATCACAGGTGAGTCTGGTTGTGACAGAGGATGCTGGTTTCTGCTGCCTTTCATCCTGTGTGCCTCAGCTTTCTAATCTCATCTCACACCAGGGCAAAACTCATGAAATCCCCTCATCTGACAGAGATGTTTTTTTGATGGAAACAATCTGCTTGTCACCAAAGAGGGAACCACAGCTTCACATAGCAATTTCTTACCAACAACTTGCAGCTTTGCCACTAGTGACGCATTACACAGCGAAAAATATGTTGTTTTAAGAAGTGTGATAACTCGGCTTTACTTGTTCTAGAAAGATAAGATAAATAAATGTATTTACTTCAACACTACAAGCATCTTGCAGCTTCCATTTCATTTAGACAGAATTATTTCTGTGCATTTAAATTTAGGACACATGCATGTAAATATTTTCATCCTGACATGCTTGTTTCAAATAACTGACAAGAGCATCTTAGCAGCAGATAAAACCCCCGGCTCAGTTTGGGTGGAGCTGAGTCAAGAAGAGTGAGTTCAAAGAGAGAGGGGAGGGTGGGGTTGGCAGACTGTAGGGAAATGGGTGGGGGTGGGTGGATGTGAGGCTGACACCCAAGCTTCTACCGAGTCATGATGTTCTAGAACATTGGGAAACTCTTTTCACACTGAAACACACACATGCACAAACACAGACACAAACGCACAGCCAGCCACACCCACACAGTCTCCATTTCATCTCCCCCATGATTCTGCAAGGGAGCCCCCATCAGCCAATTGGATTGCACAACTGATATTCTGGGGTAGGGGAGTCCCACCAAATACCTACTGCTTATAAACATGTTGTGGTGGTTTCCATGGTTACACAGAGGGAGGCCCAAGGAGTTACGCAGCAGTGACTCCCGCTGAGTTAAAAACTTCAGATGAAAAAGTGACTTGCGTAAAAAAAAAAAAGTAAGGTTTCCATATGTGTGTGAGTATGTGTATGTGTGTGTGTGTGTGTGTGTGTGTGTGTGTGTGTGTGTGTGTGTGTGCATGAAATCATCTTTGCAAGTGTACACACATACAGAGCACACTACACTGCTGGGAACTGCAGTTGGATGATATCCCAGTTTGCATTGGGAGTGGTGAATTATGATGTCAATGGCATAAAAGTGCTGTGTGTGTGTATGTATGCGCGCATGTGTGTGTGCGTTTTTGTATATGTGTGTGCAAATATCTCTCAGCCAAACGAGTAAAGTTAATGAATTCCACCATTTCTGAGTGTGTGTGCGTGTGTGTATGTGTGTGTGTGTGTGTGTGTGTGTGTGTCTGTGTGTGTGTGTGTGTGTGTGTGTGTGTATATATCAAAAAGGCTGGGTGGTGAATAACCCATTGTCCACGCTAACCTCTTGGATGGTATGAACTGTATTGGAAAACTCCTCTCACACATAGCAACACCAGCCCCTGTCTGGGAGTGCATTGTGTGTGTGTCTGTGTGTGTGTGTGTGTGTCTGTGTGTGTCTGTGTGTGTGTGTGTGTGTATGTGTGTGTGTAAATGAATGCATAAATGTGTGCTTGTGCACCTAAGTTGAAACGGGCGTCTTTCCGTGCTTGGCCGAGGTTCCTGCTGTGACCTTATTTCCTGTGGAAGTAGCAGAGGAATGATGTCATCCTCTCTTGACCCAGAGTCAACAACTGTAAGCTGCAGGACCCCCCACCCCCCCCTTACCTTAACCCCGCCCACTACCATGAGTCTCTTTCTTATCTCAGTTCTTTTTCTTTGCCTGCTCCTCTCCTTCCCCAACTCCCCTTGAATTACTCTTTTCTCTGAGCCAACTTCTCGGGTAACAAAAAAACTTTCTCTCTCCTGCTGTATTGCACAGACATCCATTCATTTGGCTTTCCTGTCCTCCTGCTATTTCCTTTCTATCTCCACACTTTTCTTTATCGCCCCTTCTATCCCCCTTTCTTTCAAGGCTTTCTGTGCCAAAAAAAGTATCAGGCTTCTGTCTTAAAGGTCAGCAGTTCACTTCTCTCAGCTGGCTAGAAAAATGTGACCAGGAAAGCTCAGAAAGAGATCAACAATAAGCCGAAAAATTGCCCTTGAGTGGCACTAACTGCATCTCCTGAATGCTTTCATGAAAGCTGTTACTAGGAGAGGACTTCTATTTTCATTTGCGGATATGTTGACCCGTGTTACTATGAAACACAGGCATAATCCACAAACTAATCCCACTTTTAGTACCAGTGCTTCCTAGAAATGATCAGGATAGTAAACCTTCTCTGACCAGACAGATTACATGGTTGACACTATACTTTGTAACAGTAAATATATTTCTATTTTACTGAAATGGGCTCAACAACACCTGAGAAAAGTCTGATTATTGTTCCTGTCACTTCAAGTGTTGCATTCTTCTTGACTATAAAACATCTTTTAATCCATCGGTAGATGTGTTACTAGTTACAAGACAAGCAGAGTTCATTTCTCTGCAGAGAATGTCCCAACTGTGTCCCAGAGCCAGGTTTGGACAAAGTAAAGAGTGAAGCTGTACCACCTCCTCATCTACTTCCACGAGGGAAACCCTGCCTTTACTGACCAGTGCTATTCAAACCTAGCAACACGACCACACCAGTTGGCAAAAACACTCAAATCAGCAGTGGGTTAATTAAGCCATCAGAATGTCAGCTCTGGATGCAGCCAGGAGCGTACGTGTGTCTGTAAATCATGTCACCATCAGCTGCACTGAAACAACCCCTGAGAAACAAAAACATTCAGGTCAAATTTCTTGTCTCATATTCCCCCAAAAACTGAGAGAGAGAGAGAGAGAGAGAGAGAGAGAGAGAGGGAGGAAAGAGAAAGAGAGACCAAGTGTCAGTGGAAGGCTGTTGACCTGAAGTACCACGAACGGATTTAGTCGACTCCGCTCTCAGCATCACTACTGCCACGTTTGCCTGCTCTGAGTTCGACTGTTGTGGCCACTCCTCTGATTTATATCAGCTGGCTTCCTTGTCTCCATGGAGATTAATGGGTCTGCCTTGACAGGTGCAGAAAGCCCTGTATTAGTCTGTCAGCAGCAGAATCAACAATAAACATGTGTGTACTTGCTTGCGCGCGCACACACACACACACACACACACACACACACACACACACACACACACACGCGCGCACACAGACACATACACAAATAAGGATGCTACTGCCTGAGGCCAGTGACATCCCAGAGGGCTTAACAGAACTTCCCATCAAAGCCAAGGCAGTGCCAAGTGAAACAGGGCTACAAATCTCCAAGGTGGAGCGTGTAAGTAGTTGTGTGTGAGCGCATGGGCATTTTCTCACTTGTGCAAGAGGGGGGCTTGCCTTGTTTACAGTTTGATTGGCAGTTTAATGTGCGACTGAGGCAGAGGGGCGGGGTTGGCGCTGAGGAATATTAGCATAATTCCCAGAGTGCCAGAGTTGGTATTGGGTGTCTGAGAGCTATTCCCAAACTCAGCTGTGACCCACAGTAGCACTGGGTCAACTTACCCTCAGGCCAAGAGACAGACACACACATACATGCTTGATCAAACGCACACGTTCACCAACTGGGATTCATATGAATATGCCCATATGCACACACATGTGCATGAACATGTGTGAATGCGCACATATGCATGAACATCTGGACATATAAGAAAGCCTGGATGCACACATACAACACGCAAACAAACACGCACAACCTCACACACCGACACACACACATGCAGGTCCATTTACACTGTGGCGACAGTGCGTCTGTTAGCAGGATGCCATAGTACAGAGAGGTGGACAGATTTAGGTCTCCCTCACACCTAACTCTGCCAGGGGTGGAGGGTAACGATACCGTTAACACTCAGTGTGCCAACAGACACCCACCCCCACCCCCGAACCCCAACCCCAACCCCACCTCACCCCGCCCTTCAACCACCCTCCCGCTGTGCTCCAATCAGCACCTCTCATTGGGTTGCTCTGCCTTCCACACAGCAACAACTGCTATTTCCTGCTCCCAAAATAACATAGCAGCCAATCACAGGGCAGAAGGAGAAGCGGTGGTCAACGTAGACCGCCTCCTTGACCACAGGTGAAAGAAGGACACAGAGAAGAAAAAAACAAAATAACCCACATGGACGAAAACAAAGAAAAGAAAAAACTGGAGGGAAAGAATAGAAGATGCAGGGATGGCAAGAGATTAGAGGAGATGTGGAGGCAGAGGAGCAGAAAAACAAATAAAAAAGAGGAAGGAAGGATGGATAGGCAGTCAGAGGACGGAGGAGGAATGAGATCGCGTAATGATGTGTTTGGGTGCTGGCTGTTCTGTTCTGACTATTGCAGCTACCATGGTAACCTCATAAATAGGTGCCCTACATATCAGCAGGGCATAAGGTTACACAGCTCAGTAAATAAACACACAGACACACACACACACACACAAACAGCAGCAGGAGAGTGGTTGGGAGAAGGAGGGATGGAGGGAGAACAAAAAATAAGCAAATTAGTGAGAAAAAAAAGAAAGTGGAGCGAGAGAGGGAGAGGGGGAAAACCTGACAACTAATGATTTGATACTCTGAGTCGGTGTTAATGTGTGTCATGCATAATTATCTAAATCCACAATGTGCTGTTGAACACCCACATCACAGACAGACTGAGGTAACCCCCCCACCCCCCCCTTCTGTGTTTATTCACTGCACCGTCACTACCTTGCACACACAAGCACACAGGAACCCATGCCCCCCCGCTCCCCGTAGCACAACCTAAATTAACCTCTTTAATAGGTATTCCCAGGGAGAAAGAGAGCGCAACAACACACAACACAGATGCCGTTTGCACACGACGACAACCCACTATATAATAACATCACGGGTACAAAACACAAGTTAGAAAGCAGGAAAAGTCAACAGAGAGCCACTCCTAACACAATGAGCTGTTCTGTTCTGTTCCATGATTCAGGGCACCAGCCTTTTTTCTTTGTTTTTTATTCAAGCACAGATAGGGAACCTGTATCAGCGTGTTGATGAATACTATTCATCACGGCCCATCGGCGCTGTTGTGTCAACATCCACTGGAAGCAATAGAGGCTGTCTTTCAAATTGTCTATTGTCAGTCTCGAGCTGTCAGTCAGTCTGTGTCACTTAGTCTCTCTCAGACTATTTACTGTTATACCATAAATGCATCTAAATTACAGCAAAAGTGACATTTGATTAATATTACCTTAATATGCCTTGATTACTACCTTAATACATAATATATCAAACACAGCTTGTGCTTTTGTCATTTTTAGGTGTGTGTGTGTGTGTGTGTGTGTGTGTGTGTGTGTGTGTGTGTGTGTGACTTACTCGGATCACCTCTGGAGTCTGCTGGATGAGTAGAGTTGATCCAGTGTCTCGCACAGCAGCAGGGTCGCCGACAGCAACGGCAGCGTCTCTTGCAGCTACTGCGGCCGGGGTGGCAACAGCGGCCGGGGCTTCAGGCGCGGCCACGGGTGTAAGGTCGGCTGAATGTGCGGTGGAATGCGACGTTGCAGGTGCAGGTGGTGCAGGAGCAGGGGTGTCACCTGCAGAAGCTTCTGTAACTTCATCCGTGACTTCAGTTGTAGGCTCGGGTACGGGTGTGGGCAGAGGTTTGGGGGCTACGTCAGGTGTTGGTTTAGGCGCAGTTTCGGATGTGGCATTGCACACAGCCTCGGGTGTTGCAGGTATAGGTGTCGGCGCAGGTGAAACTGTAAGTGTGTTTGCAAGGGAGTGGTTTGGTATGGCTGGGGCTGTGTTTATGTGGATGGGTGGAGCAGCGGGAGCAGCAGCTGGTGGGTTTGTGCTCTCCAGAGGGGTATCAGCCCTGCCGGTGGTGGCCAGTGTATCCTGCAGGAGCCTCATCACCTCCCGCTCCTTCCCACATTTCCGCTCAGCGCTCCCTGAGCTTCCTGCCCCAGAATCCACCAGTTCCTGTGCAAAACTCTCGATGCTCTCCAGGATCCTCAGCAGAAGGGCCCCATCCTCCTCCTCTCCTAACGAAGCTTCACTGTTCTCTCCCTGGGGAGGAGTCAGACTCGGGGGAGTCCTGGAGCTAGGGCCATTCATGGCTATGTGGCTAGCTGGCTTCTGGACTTGGAAGTGGGCCATTTTGGGCTGGGTGAAGGCCTCTTTGGGGGTGATCCCCTGGCCCCCCTCCCTCTTCCTGGTCTTGGCTGGAAGTGGAGGCTCAGTGTTTCTGGGGTGGCTCATACTCTGAGACAGATTCTCCAAGTCCATCAGCAGCTTGTCGATGTCATCATTCCTGTGTGAGACAGCCTTGGGTGCTGAGACCGTTAGTGAGGCAGAGGAAGGCCAAGTGGGGCTGTAGCCAGTGCTGGCTGGCGACGCATTTGAAGAGTTATGAAGTGTGTGCCCTTGGGATAGGTGCATGTGCTGACTTAACACAGTCCCGTTTTTGTTGTGGATAGTGTTTACCCCTCTGCTTGGAGTGAGTGTCTGTTGTGAGATTTGTTCTGGTGCCCTGCCCACATCTGCTTCCTCCTCCTCAATATAAAGAGCCTCCATAGGGGACGCCGGAGGAGTGTGTGTGTACGGTGGGGTCGGGGAAGTGTGAAGAGGGGAGGGAGACTGTGATGGAGAGGAGCCGGATGGAGAGCAGGTGATAGACGGGAGAGAGAGTGCGTGTTGTGTGATAGAAGAAGAATGTGGATGCTGTAGTCCATTGGTGAGGGAACTGGTTCTGGATGGGGAGCTTTGGGCTGGTATATTATGGATGGAGTCTGATTTCAAAGAAGAGGAGGATGAAACAGAGGAGAGAGTAGAAGATGCAGAGTGAGGAAGAGTCTTTGGGATGGGAGGGGACTGCACCACATCCTCGTAGCGAGGAGGTTGCTCATTGCCAAATATTGGAGAGTAAGGTCCCTGTTGGATGGAGTGAAGAGTGTTGACCAGCTCAGCCAAATCACTGTGCCCGCTTCCGGGTGCACCCTGCCCACTGCCTCCCAAGCCTCCAATCCCTTCCAACTCCAGGGGAAGTCTTTTCAGATAGGAGCTGAGTCGGGTCATCACAGCCCGATACATGCTGTCAGGACTGGCGCCTCCATCCTCCGGGCCTCCACCGGCTTTGCGTTTGATGCACTGCTTGATGATGTCAGTGCATTTTTTAAGGTCTTCAGAACATTTAAGCAGGATGTCAAGGCAGGCACGGATGTCCTCCCCGCCTGCTCCCCCGCTGCCTGCCTCCGCTCGTGTCTTCTCCAGCAAACGGGCAATCAGGTTCTCATCCCCCAGGGTGCTGCGGTACAGGGAAGCCACCGTGTTCAGACTTTGGTCTAATGAGCTAATGCTTGTTAGGCTGCTTGTCGAGCCGCCACCAACTTTGGTGATGGCTGACAAGGTGCCCGAGTTGCCCTTTAGCTTTGTCTCCTCCAGCCCTGCCCCTTTCCCCAGCACAAACGGCGGCATGTTCTCATCATTAGAAGTAGCCGTGCCATTCGTCATGCCATTAGTCGTTCCATTAGTGGTGATGTTAGAGCTGAAGTGACCGTAGATGATCTCCAGGTCAGTGGAGCGTCGGCTAAAAGAGTCGGGACGGACTTTACGACCTTTCCGGAAGGTGACGTGGCTGGAGGAGGACAGGCGGAGCTTGTCGAAAGAAAACTCTTTGAGCTTACCACTGGCCAGGTTGATGGCCTCTTCGGTTATGTCCTTTAGACTGCTAGAGGAGCTCAGGTTCCCAGTCGATCCTCCGCAACTTGGGGTCTTCTTACCTCGCCACGTGGGGCTGTCTTCCCCTACGGACAGATTCCCACTGCTGCCCGCCCTTTCTAGACCACCATTATAACTAGTATCCATGGCAACACTAATTTTACAATGGTTAGGAAGCTGCTGAGTGATCATGTTACGGGAGTGTATGGGTGAACTGTTCGTGTCAGTGTAAACGGGGTCTGGCGCGACAAGCAGCTCGGAGCAGGTGCCGCGGTGCGCGACAGTACAGTCCAGACCCTGGGACAGCGCCCCACATGGCCCCGAGCAGTAGTGCACAGCATGGGAGTGAGTTCGCCGGTCCACTACCACGCTGTTGTAGCAGCTCACACTGCTCACCACTACGCGATAGGCTGCTGCCATGATGACCAGCGTGCTTCAGGGCATAGGAAGGTCAAAACAATATGAAAGTGTAAAGCAAAAACAATAAAATGTTTCCAAAAAAAATGATAATGATTATAGCGTTTTGCTGAGACTCCTTCGCTTGAGAGGAAAAAACTGTTTATGTCCGAATACCATAACCCTGAAAAATAATGTCTTTCAACTGCATGATGGCAATTTTCAAAAGGCATAAAACGGCCATCAAAAAATCAACACTTGAAAAGAAATGTCTATAACTATGACTTCCAGAGTCGATATTCTGCCATGCTTGCAACCGAAAAAGCTTTAAAAAGGATTCCACTCTCTTGCAGAGGAAAAGAACTCCTTGTCGGAGATCTCTGGGCCTCTTAATAACAGCTGTAAGGTTCCTCCTCTCTCCACAGGCACCTTCTCCGTTTCCTCTCTAGCAGCAGCTCATTAGCCACTAATGATAGCCATGCAGGACAGTGACAGTGGAAGATCCAGCTGGGGTGTCACCCATCCCTCAAAAGAAGCAGGCCCAGAGGCTTAATCCAAGGCCAGTGAGGCCTTAACATTGCCCCTCATCCTCTGGGCAATGAGACGTAGGAAGAACCCCCTTATCTCGCTCTGATTTCTTTGCTTTTTTTTTTTTGTCCTTAAGGAGATGAAAACGGACACAGCTGCAGAATAGCAGGGGACCAACCACAGATGGCCGGCTTCCTCCTCCTCCTCTCTGCGAGTGTTTGTCTGGATCTCCGTCACTCCCGTACTCCCTCTCGCCCCTTCCGTCTCCCACTGTCAACCATGTGTCAGGGGGAGTGCGTGTGTCTGACAGGAGGGCACCACCTGCGAGTCAGAAAGGGAGGGAGGGAGGAGAGAGGGTGAGAATGAGAGAAAGGGAAACCAGAGGAAGAGAGAGTAAATCATTAAGACAGTCACCAAGAAGTGGATACTTGTGAATGTGAGTGTTGAGCGTGCAAATGTGCACATCAATATAGAGCTCTGTGTGTGTGTGTGTGTGTGTGTGTGTGTGTGTGTGTGTGTCCTCCAGCTATCATCCAGATGTCAGTTGATACGAGGCTTTAGACTCTTTGTCGTAAAAAAAAAAAAAAAAAGCTGCAAACTGCATGTAGCTTCCCACCACATCAACCTCAAAACCACAAAGACAAAAAGGAGTGGAGGAGGAGAGACGTAGAAGTGTGCGCGGTTAAACAGGCTGAAGAAAAGACTCCCTCTTTCGCTGTCACAGCAGAGCTACAAAGAGTTTTCTCTAACCCCGCTGAGAAATCACCACTCAGTAAAAGAGAGGCAGGTGTGGTGGAAAGAGACAGCACCTGTTGCTTTCACATTTCCATTCCTGTTTTTTTTCCCCCTTGGTACTGCAACTCCTATATGTTTGTTAAGACATTAAAGATGTAATTTTAATTACTGTTGTGTTTGAGTCTATTCTTTTCAACGTCCAGTGCTGCAGAGGAAACAAAAAGGCTGAAACAAGCACATACGAAGACAAAAAGACAGACACAGCCAAACATGACTAAAGTTGTGAAGTAGAGGTCATACTGTGACCTTCAGCTGTTCCAAACACTGTGCAGTGTGTAACAAAGAGCTGCCTTGAACTTTATTATAAGCTATAATAGGACAAATGCTCCTCACAGGGCTATAAAATCTGACTTTTAGACCTACACACTGAGCTACAAGTTACAACTGAAAGCTAACAGACACTTACTGTACAGATTTCAATTTTTTTTTTCATTTTTTGGATTTTTCAAAATCAGCTTGATAAACATTGACTGCTGAGAGTTCATATTAGAGAGACATTTCTGTGCAGTAAAATAAGTTAAGCAACAAGTAAATACCAGTAACACGCCACATACCAGGCACTCACAGAGCCTGACAAGAAGGTAAACACAGTGTGCAGAAAACCTGCAAGCACGACCGATGAGGAAAATAATTTAAAGGCCACGTAAAAGAGTGAGTTCTTTCATTCTTTTTTTTTTTTCTCTTTTATGCCTCTCTGTCGCTGTATATCTCTCTCCCCTTCTATCAATTAGTTTTAGATGCCTTTGTGTCATAGTCACCGATTTCTTTCTCTCTCCGTCTTCCTCCGTTTTCCCTCCTCCTTCACAGAGGCAACACATTCCTCTGGCCCTCCCACACATGCATGCCCATTCGTACTGCACATACATACATTAACTGTAATGCTGCGGTGAGACAGCACCACTATAGCCACAACCGCACTCATGCAATCTAAGCTCCATCCTAATCCCAACTATACAAACATACTGCATACTTTCAGAAATCCAAATGTAAGACTGCGAATTTGGAACTACATAGAACTGAAACATATAGAAGAAGCCATATTCAAATAATAGATTTTTTTTTTTAATGATATAAGATCAGGACTGTATACCTGTGGGATGCAGGATTTTCAGAATAAGCACGGGAAGAAAAAACAACATTGAGAGGTGATTACAAGTTATCATCTGATCTGTTCGGGATTCTCAGGGGAATTATGGAGCCAGAGTTTCCTACTTAAAAGTGTGAAAAAGAGCAACTGGGGAGAGCGGGGGAGGAATGATTGGTGGGCTCATGGGCGGGGGGGGGGCTGCTGGCAAGGTTAGGAGGGGGGTTTGTGGCACCTGGAAAAACAACTATTAAGACTTTGTATGGAAAAAACAGGCGGTAACCTCGTCTCTGTCTCACTTTCTTTCTCCTTTCTCTCTCCACACACGCACACACACACACACACACACACACACACACACACACACACCAACACCACATAACAGCTGGATGCTGCTGAATCAGTCTCTTGAGCAGGAAATTACACTTCCTGGCAAGCTGCACTTGAAAACTCAACAGTCAGTTAGAAATAGACTACTATAGGATGGCAATCAGACACACACACACACACACGCAAAAATGCCCACTCACACTCCTTTCACCATGCTGCACGCACACACTTAATGTCCGTGTGTATATCTTGGTAAACGACAGCTTCCCCAAAGTGATACTGAGCATGTAAACAAACTCCACTGGTGTTTATAACACTGAACAACTTCCACACACACACACACACACGCACGTGCCTACACCCACCCGTGAATGCCTGCACATGCCTCACTGGCACATAATTCAGAAAGAGATGATTCACTGGTAAGCGCGCACACGCACACACACGTGCGCATACATACACACATGTTCTGTGCTGTGTTTTCAAGCTTTGGCCTGATTTAGTGGCAGCTCAGTTATTTATGGCGAGTTAGCTGAGAATTTGCGGAGGTATCAGGTTTCACTTTAACGTCAACAAGCCAAAGCTTAAAGCCAAAATCTGGAAAGTCTGTGAACATGAAAAATGTGGCTTTATTTTTCAAAGCTGTCTGTTTGGAAAAAATAAAAACATGATGAAAAATAAACTTTTGGTAACTCTCATAACATATTAATTATGTGCACAGGTAGGCCTATTTCTTTTTTTCATTTTTAATTCTACAACTGTAAATTGAGACTAATTTACATCAGCTTGAACCTTGAATCTGAGTGAGAACATGGTGAAGGCTACCGCCTCGCTTTTTGTGAGTGATTTTAACAAAGGGCAACATAATGCAATTTGCAGTGGAATTTTTATCTGCACCTTTTTTATTTGTCTCTCTGTGCCTTGAATTTAAAGGCAGAACAAGAAGTGAGAAGTGGAGGCAGATCAGTTGATTGTGTTCCTTGAGTTTCTTTGTGAAAGGAAATTAGGTTATTTGTGACAAGCATTCTCCCTTTTCTCCTCTTGCCTTCCCATCCTCTCCATCTCCCTCTCTTTCTTTCTTTACCTCTCCTTCCCTCCCTCCCTTCTTTTTACCCAGTCTAAAAAGGTCTTCCCTTCAACCTGACCTTCACCAGGAAGCACTAAATCACTGGAGGCCACTTCTGTCACAACCTCTAATCCAGCCACTAAAAGTATGTTCGTGCATGTGTGTGTGTGTGTGCGTGTGTGTGTGTGTGTGTGTGTGTGCATCAACAAATGTGCACAGAAAGAGCTTGTGTACTTTGTGCAATTTTGTCCACACCAATACACACATGTACTTTTGCTGTACATGTGTATGTGTGTGTGTGTGCGCCTATGGGTACAGAGCAAGGGGCCAAGGGGGCCTCCCAAGGGGAAGTGGGTCTTTGTGAAGAAGAGGGCCCAAATAGGAACCCCAAACATACCCCCAGGGAGAGAGAGAGAGGACAGGTCTACACTAGCCCACTCACTGTAAATACACACACACACACACACACACACACACACACACACACACACACACACACACACACACACACACACACACACAGCTTGATGCAACTTCTGTGTTTCTACTGAGATCACACAGTGAGAACAGTGGGCTCTGCTATGCCATACACATACTAAACAGAGCCGAGAGAGAGACACTAGCTGCTCTGTGGGTATTGACTTCTGCCCTACAATGAGCGACAACAGTAGCTACAAAGGAGGGATTACTGGGCTTTATTCAACAGAACTCTCCTCTGAGAAACAAAACTGAGAAACACAAACACTCACAAGGAACTGCACATAAATGCATGCAAACACACATCACAAAAATCACAGAATTAAAAATGCATCCAAATTGCAAGAAAAAAAATCTTAATGCATTCATAAATGCATTCCTTCAGCTTTTTAAAATGTCAATTTTAAAACACACTCTGTCCTCTCCTCCTTTCCTTCTTTCCTTTACTCATTTCATTCTCTCTCTCTTTCCTTTCCCCACACTCTGATCTTCACAAATGTCCAACAAAATAACTGCGTTTTCTGACCCACTTCTCTGCTTCTGTCTGTAATCCTCACATGAATTATTTACTCTGACTTCTAAGTGCCTGTTTGAATGCACACACACACACACACACACACACACACACACACACACACACACACACACAACACGACACACAAACTACACATTCGTGCTCCCTTGAAAAATCAAGTCAAACTTATTCTGCTGCAGAGTTTGTTCATCAGCTGAGACGTCAAACCG